ATTCATGTCTCCTTGGTAAGATACAACAATTTATTGGTCCATGGTAGGAAACCTGCCTCATGTGCTAGGAGAGAAGAGAATTGAGTAGAGAAAGAAGCACTAGAACAATTATAGTTAGAAATGATCACTCTGGATAAAAACTGTATGCTGAAAGTAGGTAAAGAAACAAAACTTTCAGTACCTGTTTTGCAAACTATAACACCCAAAAAGAGAAAAAAAAAGGAGAAAGAGAGAGAGAGACAGAGAGAGAGACAGAGACAGAGACAGAGACAGAGACAGAATGTGAGAAAAGAAAAGGGAAAATTGCCTGCCATAGAAGCAGACTGGGAGAGTGGGGGTGGTGTGAGAAAATCTGGGACATTAGTGATGGGAAATGTGGAAATCTACATTGGTGGAGGAATGGGTTTTGGAAGATCATACGACTGAAATCCGACCATGAATAGCTATAGCTTTGTAATTGTTCATTTCATGATGATTCAATTTAAAACATTTAAGGAAAGGCATCTGTGCAAAAAGAAAGAGAGAAAGAAGAAAATAAAGAGTTTATAACAGGATCCTTTCCCATTTTCAATTTTTCCTTCAGCATACCTTCACGACCTTAAACCCTATCCTAGTTATTGTTTTGTACATTTTCTTATGAAAATATATTAAACATTCTTGAATCTTCTAATTATAATTAAATGAAGATCTGGTGCTAATCACAGTGTTGGGATTATGGGTTTTCATAATATTAAACTTCTCAGAAAGTCACATCATTGAAAATAATAGAATATATCTATGTGAAGCAGGAGGTAACTATTTTCAAAAAAGATTAAAAGAAATATTCAAAAATGTATTTGTAAAAAGACTGTGTTTTACTCATGTTGGGACTATAACTAGTTCTGTCCCTTGTCTTTACTTTTGAGGTCAAGATATCTTTATGATAGGAACAGAAAAAATATTACAATGCAATAAAGAAAATTGGATCCAAAAGAAAGCCCCTCGGAAACCTATACCTCAGTCTGCTGTAAGAATCAATCATTTCTTTTCATATTCCTGCGTCTTATTTGTGTATGAATCTTTTGGGCCAAACTCTAAATCAAAACATATCAGGTGATATTATCAACATAAAATTTGGATTAGTTGTAAACTTTATATTATATAACAATTCATGACATTTACACTCAATAATTATCAATTTCTTTAAGAATTGGCAATGCTCTAGGGTCTTGATCATTTTGGTCATGCGGAGATAGGGTAACTGTATGTCAAACCCAAAAAATCAACACTTGTGTGAGAATGCAACCCAAACTAAAACCATCCTAGTTATTATTATGTCTATAATCTGCCCTTCAGGGTGAAACATGATTCATTGTTACATACACCAAATAATTCAATTTAGGATGATCCGCTTTATTGTGGTGTATCACCACACATCTATCTTTTTTATTCATTCTCTTACTCAGACTTTGCACACTTGAAATTGAAGTTATGTGGAAGAACTCCATTGACAGTTTTTTTGCAAGAGAGTTCAGATATAGGTGAATTCCATATGTTTGCTAGTAAAGCCTTGCAGTGATAGCTTATGATAGGACAGTGCTGTGAATTTCTTATAGTACAGCAATAAAAGAAAAGATTTTTTCTCTTTAAGTGAGTTAGATGTAAATATGCCTTGCACGTGGCCGACCCGGCTGACTCGAGTTTGATTCCTCCAGCACTCTCGGAGAGGCCGGCAAGCTACTGAGAGTACCTAGCCTACATGGCAAAGCCTGGCAAGCTACCCGTGATGTATTTGATGTGCCAAAGACAGTAACAAGAAGTCTCACAATGTTACTGGGCCCGCTAGAGCAAATCAATGAACAACGGGAGGACAGTGACAGTGATAGTGACAGATGCAAGTAAAGAAAGATTAGAGATGTGAGAATAAAAGCAAGACATAAAAATGGAAGCATCTCTGTACCAAAATTTTATAGGCACAGATTTTAATGATATAAATGACATATTTGAATGTATTTATTTGCCGGAAAGAAAGATGGCGGCCGCACGGGAGCCTTGTGGACAGCAGGTATGAGCCGGAGGTCAGGGGCGACAAAAACCTCATGGGAAGGGGGGGCGTTCCGGTCTGTCCTTCACGCCCTACCGAGGTCACCAGTTGCCCCCCACGAGCGGCTCTCCGGCACGACCACGACTCCAGAGCACAGAAACCAATCTCTTAATTATCTGACTTTTAGTAGAAATACTTCCAGGGTTAATAAGTAAAATAGCAGAAATCCAAAACCGCCCGGTCGCTACCGCGGCCACACGAAAACATTTAATTCTTTTTTTTTTTTAAATTTTTTATTAGTGAAACACCATGAGGTACAGTTGTAGATTTACATATTTTTGTGCTTGGATTTCGGTCATACCATGATCAAATACCCATCCCTCCACCAGTGCCCATTTTCCATCACCAGGATTATATCCCTCCCCCCCATACCCCCCCCCCCCCCCCGCCACTGTGGCAGGGCATTCCCTTTTGTTCTCTCTCTCCTTTTGGGTGTTGTGATCAGCAAAAGAGGCATTGAGTGGCAAACATGTTCAGTCCAGTCTACTTTCAACCTGCATCTCCCCTCCTGGGAGGATCCTCCAAACACCCTCCATTTGGTGCTCCCTTCTCTTTCTCAACTGTCCCCTCCCCTAGAATACCCGGCTGGCCTCTAGGCTATGGAGTAATCCTCCTGGTGTTGATCTCAGCTATTCTTGGGTATTAATCTCATATTTTGTTATTTTATATCCCCCAGATGAATGCAATCTTTCTATGTCTATCCCTCTCTTTCTGACTCATTTTGCTTAGCATGATACTTTCCATATTGTACCACTTGTATGTAAATTTCATGACTTCATCTTTTCTAAGAGCTACATAGTACTCCATTATGTAGATGTACCAAAGTTTCTTTAACCAGTCATCTGTTCTTGGGCACTCAGGTTTCTTACAGTTTCTGGTTACTGTAAAGAGTGCTGCAAGACATTTAATTCTTAAACCCAGCTGTAGAAAGCAAATCATTTCACAACGCTTTTTCAGCATGTCTGATTTGGGGGGAGGGGTAAAATCTAAATAATAATGGTGCATCTTTTATCGAAACAATGAATCTAGTCAAAGTAGATAGAGTGTTAACTAGAACTCATCTGCCTCACAGGAATTGGGAGGGGTGGGAGGTGGGGTTCTATTGGGGTTCGCGGTAAAAAATAAGTATTGGCAAAGGGCAATGTGTTTGATATTTACATGACTGAGACCTAAACCTGAAAGCTCTGTAACTTTTTCCACAGTGATTCAATAAATAAATTATTAAAAAAAATAAAACTGGCAGATTAAGTTAAAAAAAATAAATAAATGTATTTATTTTCATGTTCATGTATTGTTTTTCATGTTCATCATTATTTTCATATGCCTGTATTTCACCTATGTGTGTGGCATTATATATTCAAAGCCACAAGTTCTTATAAAATGAAGATTGTTTCCAAGGCCAAGACAATTTGGAAATACTGTGATAAAACTTCACCAAAAGCTTTTCTCTGTTTTTCCCTTTTCTGGAGAAGCTAGTGTTCTCTCCTAACACAGCTCTGTCTTTCTCTTTTCTCTCTCTCTTTCTCTTTTTCTCTGTCTCTTTCTCTCTCTCTCCTCCCTCCTTTCCCCCTCATGTTTCTCTAAGTAGATTTGTTTAAATAAAACTATCTTCACTAAAATTTATATATATCATATACAAATCATGTTATGAAATTTTACACAAATTTGCAAAAATTATGTATTTTTACACAAATAGCCACATGTCACATTACTTTTACAGTCTCAGTATAATACGGTTTTTTATTCCTCCCACCTGAATTTTCATACAACTCAGTAGTCATAAATAAAGTGAATACATAAACAAAGTGAAAACATTTAAGGTGTGTATCATGTTGAATTTATTTCACACACACATACTAACACATACCCATCGTCATGACCATTGTAGTTATCCATTGTAACTACCATATGCATCAAGATATAAAACACTTCCAATATTTAAAAATAATTTATTTATTAGAAATAACAGAATTATTTGAGCTTGGCATGATTACTTGTAAGTAAATCCAAAGAAGACATTGAAATTTTTGAATGGGAATTTCAGAATGTTTAAACAGGAAATCTGATTTTTATAAGCAAATAGTTTTTTTTCTGACAACGTTTAGATACATAATTTCCTGAATCGTGACAATATAAAGAAATAAGAGTGGCATTACTTGGAGAGTTAGTAGACCTCGGAGAGTTTTTTCTTTATTCCTATTTTTGTACATTAATTATTCTTCAAATCCCAAGTTCTAAACATGCTGAAATAAGGCATCATAGTTTCTAATCATTGTCCAGTAAATATCAGTCACTGAAAGTCAGGTTGGGGAATAAGACTGGTTTATGTTAGCAGAGTGAAGCATAAATATGTCAACATCTCAGGGATGTTTGTGAACACAATTTCAACTGAACACAAAAAAATGATGTTTTAGGAGGTTAGTCTCCTGATTATTTGTATGCACATTAGTTAAAACATTCACATTAAGCTTTTTTGACTACAGAACTTGACTCTGTTAGCAAGCAAATATAGGGCTTGTTTTATATCTCTGTTTCTCAAGCTGTAGATAAAAGGGTTCAGCATGGGGGTGACTATCATGTACATCACAGAAGCTATTATGTCTTTATTATTTGTACCAGAGGAGGAGGATAAAAAATAAACTTTAAGAATGGTTCCATAGAATAAAGACACAACAAGGAGATGGGAACCACAGGTAGAAAGGACTTTGAAGAATTTCTTAGCAGAGGGATTCCTCAAGACAGTGGTCCATATGTGGATATAAGTTCCCAAGATACTGAAGAATGGCAGATAAAAAAATATCCCTCCCGCAATGAAAATGACCAGATTATTTAGTGAAGTATCTGAACAGCTTATCTCCAGGACTGGAATGATTTCACAGAAGAAGTGGGGGATGGTAATGTCGTCACAGAAGGAAACTCTGGCCAAAAGGAGGGTTTGCAACAGAGAGTAGAAGCAACTGAGGACCCAGGATGCTGCTACTAGAGCAAAGCACCGCTCCTGCCTCATGATGGTTGTGTAGTGGAGCGGCTGACAGATGGCCACGTACCTGTCATAGGCCATAACTAAAAGAAGAAAGTTTTCAGAACAACCAAAGAGTATTAAAAAAAACACCTGAGAAATGCACCCTGCATAGGGGATAGATTTGTGATTCGTCTTCATGTCCATCAACATTTTGGGGAGAGTGACAGATGAAAACGACACATCATCGAAGGCCAAGACACTGAGGAAGAAATACATGGGCGTGTGGAGGCGAATGTCCATCCAGATCAGCAGGATGATGAGCAGGTTTCCCAACACTGTGGTGAGGTACATGACCAGGAAGAAGATGAAGTACAAACCCTGATGTTCTGGTGGAACAGGGAGCCCCTGGAGAAGAAATTCAGAAACTGTAGTCTCATTCTGTCTCATCATGATGCTTTTGTCTTTGCTGGGGATGAAAGAAAGAGGGAAATGTATGGAGAATGAGTAATAGCATCATAGTAAAGCGAACTTTATGTGAACTCTCACATTAGTTAAGTTTTAACTAATCACATATGTTTTTTTATGAACCATAGTGTGTGCCATTCAGGTTCCAATGCTACATTACTGTCTAACATTCCTAGTAAGATTTCACTTTGAAAGAAGGTATTTTTGTTAATACAAAAATGTTTTTATGATTTCATCTTCTCTAATATAATTGGATCAACGTGGAGAGTATCATGCTAACTGAATGTCAGAGAGAGAGAGGGTGAGACATAGAATGATGGCACTCACTGTTGGAATATAAAGTAACAGAGTGGGAGACTAACATTCAAGGATAATAGAGACAAGAGCCAGGAGAATCACTCCATGGCTTGGAAGATGACCTCATTTACTGGGGGAAATGGTAGCTGGGATAGAGAAGGGACCACTAAGTGTATGATCCTTGGAGGACTTATTAGGGATGGGAGATGCATGATGAAAGTAGACTATAAACCAAACATTATGGCCAGTTACTACCTGTACTGTAAACCATAACACCCATAAGGGCAGAGAGAGTTAAAAGGAATGTGCCTGACACAGATGTAGGTCGGTGGGGAGGGGTGGCAGTAGGGATACGGGGAACATGCTGGTGGAGAATAGGTGGTGGTGGAGGGATGGGTACTCAATCATTGTAGGACCGAAATGTAACCATCAAAGTTTGTAAGTCTGTAACTGTATCTCATGGTGATTCATTAGAATCAAAGCTCTCAGTGTAAAAGGAGTACTCACCTTTGTAATATGTCAAGTCGATCTAGTCATTTATCATAATTTCATAGAAAATTGGGCACTAGGACACATCTTTAAAACTTTTCCCCCTTTAACTACTAAAACTATCTACACTGGAATAGAACACAGTGAAAGTTTCTGGACCTTTATTTATCAAAGATATTATATCTCCTAATAATAGTGGTCCATTAACTTCAAAATCACATGAAATATTGGCCATCAGCTGACCAAATAGCAGGCACTATTTTGTGGGTATTACATAAACCTTAAAAGTCTTCACCAAGGTATGAATTCAGCACTACATTCATGATCACGATCATCCTGTTGTTTATCGATTTCCTTGAGCAAGCACCAGTAACGTTTCCTTCATCCTAGCCCTGAGATTTTAGAAAGTGCCATATTCAAGGCTCTTTCAGGGTCAGGAGAATAAGACCCATCATTGTTACTGGTTTTTGGCATCTTGAATATGCTACGGGGAGTTTGCCAGACTCTGCTGTGCGGGCAGGATGCTTTTGGTAGCCTGCTGTGTTCTCCAGAGTAAGATCTAGATAATAAGATGTTGTGTGTCCGCATTTGCAGCCACACGCTTCTGGGAGTTGGGTTTTATAGTCTCTGGGTCTTGGCCATTGATGGGATAACAGCGCTGGAGGCATTTGGTGGGTGTAATGTCTATCTACTGAAAGATGGGTATCTGGGTGGAGGAGGCTCAGTCCCGATTCAAACAGGCTTGGAGATCTCAGCCCCAGGCCCTGCATGCCTGTGCTCCTCTACTGGTTCCTTCATGCGTGTGGAGAGTGGTCTCAGCATGGCTGTGTGCAGCCACAGCACTACTTTATGTTTTTAAATTATAAAGAACAAAAAAATCCATTATTTAAAGGTGCAAAGTTGCATCACTCATAAATAAAACAGGTAAAATTATAATTTGTATTCAGTAAGAATCTGTCTCCTATTCATTTTGTGTGGCTTTCCCACTCCTCATTATTCAGGATAACCACACTTGTATGTGATACCACTCTAGATCTTCCAAAAGGATCAGCTTAGATAGCTTCAATTGACACAATGCTTTCAAACACCTTATTTAAAATAAATACATTTTGATATTTTATGTTTCTCATGACATATTATATTGCCATTCATATAACAAATGTGAAAAACTAATTTCAAATTTGGGTCATCTAGGTTTGTTACGTAGATCCAAGATTTAATATTTCTTCGGAAATTTAATCTGAGGGTGGGGATAAGAAACATACTGCTGTGGAGCTAATCTTTTTTTTTAATTGAAGAACAGTCATATACAGTTATAAAGTTGTTCATGATTTAAATCCTGTTACATAATGTTCCAACACCTGTCCCTTCACCAATGTAGGAAGAGTGTAGGACCGTAAATGGTCCGAGTTTCCCTCCCAACCTACACCATTTGCTTTTAGGTCTTATGTTCTGCAATCAAGATAATGAAAGATTATCAAGTATATTCCTTTACCTACTTTCAATACTCAGTCCCTGTTCAAAATGATCATCCCCAACTATTATTGTCATGTTTGTTCCTTCTCTATCCTAATTGCCATTCAACCCTACCCCAATCCCATCCCCTCACCATTGCCCCCTTCTTGTGGCATGTTTGTGGTGGGAACCTTGACTGGCTTTTGTATTCATGTACTGGAGAAAGACTACAAGTAATTTAGTCCAAAGAACTATGAACTGCTAGGGGTACTGATCCTCTCCATTATTGTCCTCTAAGGTGGACACTGTCTTATCACTGATTTATGAATAGTGATAAGAGTATCATTGTATGGAGGATGAGAAACAAGAAAGCACTTAGAAGAAAACTAGAAAATCATGCCAGGAAACTTAATTCACACATAATTTAGAAGATAATTGGTTCATGGACTAGGAGCAGGGGCTCAAGCTGTATTAGCAAAGTATGAAAGGGAGTTCATATTGCCTTGTACTCGCTACTCTCTAGACACTTTTTTAAATTTTATTGAATCACCATGAGATAGCTACAAACTTTCATGTTTGGATTTCAATCACACAATGATCAAACACCCATCTCTCTACCAGTGCACTTCCCCACAACCAATATCCCCGGTATAGCCCCCTCTTTCCCACCCTCCCCCTGCCTTCGTGGTAGACATGATTCCCCATAATATCTCTCCACTTTGGGGCATTATGGTTTTCAATATGGACCCTGACTCTCTAGACTTCTATCTGGACTGCACTGGTAGTGGAGAAATAAAAATATCTATAACAAAAGCAATTGGTTTGGAGAAACACAATAAAATACCCCATTGCTTACTGAGCATCAAACAGGGACGGTATGATGCTTAATAAAGTTGTGCATAGTCCAATTTAATTCTAAAAATAGCATTGTGATCAAGGATTAGCTTCTCTTTCTTTATAAGTTGGAAACTGAACATTAGGAAATTCAGACAGAAATACAGGCTGATGATTGGATCTCTACAAAACTGAGCCATTGGTGTCCTAGAAATTAGTGTGTAATGCCCTACTAGAGGTGAAAAAACATATAAGCCTACATGCTCAATGCAATATAATAGCCACTACTGACAGACTCTTAAGGTAGCTGTGGGTGATGACACAGGCTGCTTTTGTATACCACAAAAGTTGTGGCACGGATACCACAACTAGAATATAACCTGATAATAAGACATCATCAATTACTCACAAACAGATCGACCTCAGTGTAACACATGAAGATAACCCATAAAAAACACACACAATATTACAGAGCGCAGCATCCCTGAGATTACTCGAGGGATTCCAAACTTCCTCAAGCTTGATTTCAAGCTTCTTCCCCTATGCCAGTTATGGGTGTATTAAAGAAACTTCTACTCCATAATGAGCACACATCTCATGTGCAGCATTGTATTTACTTAACCTTGATATTTGTATATGAAGATTAGAATCTGAAAATGATTAAAGGAGACTGCGGTTTTTTATGATGATGAGACCCCAAACCACACTCAGAACTGCTCTGTGTCTGCTTAATGGTAGCTTATTTGGTGCCATAAGCACTGGGTGGAGGGAACAATCAATATGAGTCATAACCACATCTCTGTCTTCTAAGTTTCTTTCTCTCTTTTTAAAATCCATATTATAAGTCAGATGTCACACATATAGAGACACAACTTTTGATGAAACATTCATGTATCCATGTCACCCAAGCATGAGATAAGCACATAGGCCTAAACAGTAAATGCATATACAGATCTCTAAGCACCTGAGACTCACTTTGCTCACCTAGACTTCCTGCTCATTCCAACCTCAGCAATTCCAAGCTCACAAAATTCTTATCTTGTATCTGAGTAAAATTCTGATCAGCTTCTTTCCTGGATACCAGGAAAAAAAGAGCAAGAGGAAAGCATCTGTGAACCCTTGGCTCTGGCGTTTCTGTTCCCGTCCTTGACTCCAAAGAAATAAGAACAGAATTTTATAAATGTAGAGAAGGCTGGAAAGGTCCCTAAGCTCCTGGTTAAGGAAAGAGAGCAGGATAATTGCCTCAGTCCAGTGAGATCTTGGGGAGGAGCTTGTGTGTGGACTGGAGGCACTGAGCCTGTGTAGCCACCTGAGAATGACCAAGGTATCAGGGGCATCATGGCAGCTGTTTGCCTGCCCAGAGTTCCAGCTGGAAGGAGTAATGACAGAGATTTGCTCCAATTCAATGCAGCCAATGTCTTTCCAGACAGGACTGGATGCCAGACTCTGTCGGCCATTCATTGTTGGTTCTGAATAAGTCAATTGACTTCTCTCAGCTTTGTCTCTGAAGTTATAAAATTCAAATTATTTTTGCATGCCATTGAATCTTTAATAGCATTTACTTAGATCATTAATGCTCTAGCACACAGGTGTACAATATATGTCCACTATGAATATCATTAACTTTATTTACTACACCAAGAGATAAATACATTTATAAGCATTAATAGATATAGGATAACTTATTAATATGTTATTTAAAACCCGTTCAAGTGATCTAAGCTGTCCCCACAAAACATCACAAAAATATGATGCAATATTCAGTACATCAGTCAGAATAATATTCCTTCTATAACATACATGCATCTATAGTTAGAGGGAACCTGACTCCATTAAGATTTGTCAGAGAATAGGTTATATGCATATGGTCCTTCTCAAGTTTTCCTTTAACATGTCTTGTCCCCCTCAAT